ACATACCATATCACCAGGTGGTGTCGTAAGTCCTTTCGATATTGAACACATTTTCTACGTGTCACCTGTTCCTAAAAGAAATGCGCACAATTGAGTCCAAGGCCAAAAGATGATCAATGGTGCTACGGTTCCTCCTGAAACCACACTGCGTGTTCGAGAAGATATTGTTGATTTCTAAAAACCAAGACAAGTGTGTCTGAACCATTCGCTCCAGAAGTTTGCACAAAGAGGAGGTCAGCGCAATTGGACGGTAGTCCGATGGATCCTTCCCATTCTTACCAGGCTTCAGCAGCGGAACTATTAGCGACTCCCGCCAAGACGTGGGGAACTCCCCTGTCTCCCACAACTGGTTGAATGCCACCAACATAGCTTGTGTTGCTGTTGGTGGAAGTCGCCAGAGCATACCATTATGAATTAAATCCGGGCCTTCCGCCACGCTGCGCAGAGAGTTAATGGCAGACATCACTTCAAACATTGTGAAAGGTTTGTTGTATGAAAACTATTCGGCTGTATGAAAGCTTATCTGGGCTGCTTCGCAATGAGCACGATGGCGCATGAAGTCATGAGCGGCAGTTGTTCGCCCACAACGCTCCGCGAACTCACGAGCCATTTCATTCGCCACCTTAGATGGGTCCAGTATGTCCTGGCCATTCATACGAAGCACGGGGTGCGACACTGAGGAGTGTTGGCTTGCTATACGCTTCACCCACGCCCAAACCACCGAAGCCGGCGTTTGGCAATTAACCTGGCCCACATATAACCGCCAAGACGTGCGCTTGGCCTCCAAGATAGTACGTCGGACTGCCGCCCGAGCTCGTCGAAAAGCGATTAAGTTGTCCGTAGTGCTGTGCCGATCAGTCTCGCAGGGTTTTTTTACGCCCGCATATAGCGTCGCGGCATTGGTTCGTCCACCGCGGAGCAGGGGGACGACGTGGGGCACCGGATGTACGTGGTATGCTTTCTTCTGCCGATCGTAAGACTGTGGAGGTGAGTTCCTCTATCGATGCAGGCACATCCGCCGAAACGGAAACCAACCTGGTTTCCACCCGTGCCTGAAATTCATCCCAGTCAGCCTTTCTAAAATTCCACCGTTGTGACCTGGAACCGAGAGCTGCTCCGTTCCGGTAACGCAACCCGATGGGGTGGTGATCACTACCAAAGGAATCGTTGTCAACCGACCATGTCAGGTGTACCGCCAGTTGGGGGCTTGTAAAACTCAAGTCCAGCGCCGATGTCTGACCTGACGGCAGCGTCATGTGAGTTCGGGTCCCGGTGTTTAAAAAGACAGAGAGATTCATCATGTAAAAAAGTTTCGCAATGCTTGCCGCGAGTGTTGGTCTAGGCGCAACCCCAAGATGTGTGGTGAGCATAGAAGTCACCCAGCAAAAGAAGAGGCGGGGGAAGCTCGGCCACCAGACATCTCATTTCTGCCGTCGGAAATGGAGTACCAGGAGGTAAGTAAAGCGAGCAGACGGTTATTGCACGACGCCCGAAAAGTATCTTAGCTGCAACAGCTTGCAGGTCAGAGTGTGAGACGACGCGTTGGACTGAGACACTGTGGTGCACAGCCAAAAGAACTCCGCCATGTGCAATTAGATCAGCTGGCGTATCCCGACGCATTACGGTGTAGCTCGGGATACTAAAATGAGAGCCAGGTAACCAGTTTGGTCTCCTGCAGGCAGGCAATGGCCGGGCAGCGCTGATTCAGAATACCCTGAGATCGTGTACACTAGTTCTCACGCCCCTGCAGTGCCACTGTAAGATACTTGTCATAAAGCTAAGAAGTGAGGGTACCCATAACGCACCTAGCTCACCAGCACAGCGCGCAGAATATCACAGTGAATACGCCTGCAAGGGGGCGTACTAAAAAAGGGGTCAAATTCACGCTTTAAGACACGACACGGTTCAAAAGAACTGGGCTGCGCATGTTGCAGGACCGGACACCTCAGTCTGGGAGTTCGGCTCGATTCCGTAGGGCGGTGCTCCACTCTGGGCCGAATCCTTGGGCTTCCTCCGTCAGATGGAGACGGAGGACCGGCCTGGGAGGCGCTTTGTGCCAGCGTGCCCAATCCTGGGTGGTGGAGGGGGAGGACCCATGGATGGGGCCTTGCCAGACATCATCTGAGGACCAGCGGGAGTGCTCGACTGGTCTTCTGGACGATGGAGCACTGCTGCGGGGGACGGACTCCTTGCCCGCCCCAGACATACGGCTCGCCGCCTTTGCCCGTTCTTGTTCGGCCAAACGCGCCCGCTTGGCATCGCGGACGCCCCTGTCCGCCTCGTGCCGCTCCAACGTATCTATCGCCAGCCCGCATGCGTTCGATAGTGGCGTCGGAGGTTACGAAGGCAGCGGAGCACACGAAGCAGAGGCGGACGAGGGTGGCGAAGAAACCGATGCGGAGGCCGGTGGAGCCCGCGAGCCACGGCCGCGCCGGACCACCGTCCAACCCTCCTCTCCGGCAGCAGACAGCGGCGCCGTGGGAGTCGGCAACACGGAGGGTGCCGACCGGCCAGGTGCCGGGGATGGAGAAGGCGGCTTAAGCCGGACGCCAACGTCCGCCACAGACCGGTCGGCTGGCGGGGAGGGAGTTCGGACTGCTGGCTAGGAGTCCGGTGTACGTGCTGAAGATACAAAAGTGAGACCAAACGATCTCAAGAGTCCCACGAACTGAATGACAGTCATCTGCTCGATGACGTTGTTGTGCGGCAAAGCAGTTTTTACTTTCGATGCATATGAGAGCTTGGGATGACTCGCGTCATACAGGCATCTGGCCTCCCGGAAAGACATGTTTTTGGACGTTTTTAGCAAAAGTATCCATTTTCTCTGAAAAACGATGGACATGTGCAGTCAAACACAGTGTGTGGTGTTTAGTCCTTGCCACAGTTGATGCAATAAGGGTGGTCAGCGGTGCAGTTGTCACTTAGGTGGGTGGTAGATGAACACTTGCTGCACACTGGCTTATTGCGACAATGGGGTTTCGTATGGTCGAACCGTTGACATTGGAAACAGCGCATTGGGTTGGGAACAAAATGACGAACTTTCACGCAGGCATAGCCCACATGGATATCTGATGGTAGATCTGGACGATTGAAAGTGAGAATGATGATGTTGGTAACATTGAGTTCTCCTCCTCTCCATACCAGGATTCTACGCGCAACGGCTACGCCGAACTTCAAAAGCTCCTCGACGACTTCACTTTCACTTACATCACGAAGGTCAAAACAATTAACGACGCCTTTAGATGAGTTTTTTTGTGTTGTGTGGTGTTACCGTCAAGGCCCCGGTTTGGTCATGGTTCCCGTTCTCATCACGAATACTGTAAATTAACTCCTTTGCTTCTAATGCACGCTTAGCCTCCAGACTACTGGCGAACTCTACCTCGATGTTGCCATCCCTCAGCTTGTCACATCTCGTGATGTCTCCAAACTTGCCACAGCCGTTGCTCCGTTGGAACTGTGACACAGGGTGGAAAGCTTTACATCTCCGCTGGAGAAGATCAGAATCCGAGGGCAAGGGGGGGTGGGGGCGAATCCCCCTCACACCCGGCCTCACCGCTGTCCGACCTCCTTTCGGGGGCCGGGTGTTTGTTGAGTTTTGAAAAGCCATGCGATTTCTAGCAAGCATTCTGCACCGGGGCTCCCCACCCACCTCGAAGCCCAACTGGGGGACGGTCCAACGCTCCCTCGGGAGGGGGTCACCGCCAGGGCTACCCCGTTGCTATACGGGGCGAACGACGCCTCCCACACGGCCAGGTGTACCCGGGTAAACCCTTCCCCGTCCTGACCGTGGTTCAGCGCCGCCGCCAATTGACTCCTTAAGCCGCTGCGCGGCCAGACGCCCCAAGCGGAAACCCGCAAGGAGCACCCAACCGCAACGCGAGCGACAAGCCGCTAGGCCCGTGTGGGGCCCCACGCCCCCCCCCCCCGCGCCCCCGGATATCCTGGCCAAAGTGGAGTGTTGGGACGCGCCGTGACTGACCCGCACGAAGCGCCCCTCAGCCACCAGGATCCGATCAACCCGGAGACGCGGGCGAGGGGGCACGGCGGCCCCGAAAAAACGAGGATGAGGAGTGGTGATAGGGCCGGTTGCCGGAGGGCGGGTAGTGGGAAGAGGAGCGGGCAGGACAAGGAGCAGGAGCTCACGTACCGGCAGGGTCGCTACGCCCTGAGAGGAACAGCTTGCGCTGTCCACCATTTACCGGAGCTGGGACCCGAGGGGGCGCTAGTCCCCTACACCGACCAAAGCCGGTGCCCCTGCGGGGAGCCATGACATTTGAATGAAAAGCGATAACAACGTCCATCTCTACGCCCCCCCCCCCCCCTGGTCATCAGGCTTGCTTTCCAGAAAAAGTTCCTGAAGTACGCCCTGAGTTTGGCCTTCCCACTTTTTGAAACGTTCCTACGTTTATGTATCAATGTCCATTGTTATGGTGTTTTTGTACCATTTTTATCATTGGTCTCTCTCTCTCTCTCTGCATATATATATATATATATATATATATATATATATATATATATATATCCCTCTCTCTCTCTCCCCCTCGTCTTTGTTCCGTTGACGGCGTTCAGGTGCAATGCATGCCCATGGAGCAGCGGACAATGCTATCTAGTGCTTTTAAAAACAGCTTTCGTTTACCCTCTCCACGGTAGGTGGTGACGGGCCCGCTCGCAGTGGCTCGTTAATGTGGGCGTTACGTCGTCGTGCGTCTCTTGGGCGTAGGTCCGGTGGGTGTGGGATTCGTGGGCGTAGGTCCAGGAAACGTAGATCTTTCGAACGTAGGTCCAGCAAGCATAGGCCTTTTGAGCGTATGTCCAGCGAGCGTATGCCTCGTGAGCGTAGGTCCAGTGAGTATAGGTTTCCTGGGCATAGGTCTTCTGGGTTCTCCCCTTCTAAACAAGGCTCCCCTCGTAGCAAGGATCCGTACTAACCAGGCTCGAGGACTTGTTGGTTGATAACAGCATGCGTACGAACGTTGACATATGTTCCGCACTTGTGACGAAACCAGTTGACAGGAAAATATCGGCTGAAAATTTGATGGAAAATGCAGCACGGCCCACGTGTAGACCTGAGTCTGTTCTAGGGCCTTGGACATAGGGTGGGGGCAAGGATAGGTCAGGTAGGTGGTGTCGATATTTGCTGATCTGTGTGCCTGGATTGACATAAGATACAGTCCCTGTATTTGCTTGTTTCAGAGTCGAGATCTTTGCGATTCAGGCATAGTAGTCGTGTAGATGTTGCTGTTTTTCTTTAATGCTTATGATGACAAGCCACGGTTGTGTGAGCAGCTAACCGCGTTCGCATGCTTCTAAAATAGAACAGGGGCTGTAGTTACACATTAATGGGCAATTATGAGCTTACTTCCCATCCATGCAGTTGTCTTTCTGATGCCCTCAGGAAGTCACATTTTCAATCCAGGTTGGCTAACATCATTTATAATGCAGCACAGTGGAGTGATGTGTGCAATGATAAAGGAGATATGGTATTGTAATTTGATAACAACACATGCATGCCTATCATGCTATTCCCCAGATGCCAGCCATCATTCACCAAACATAGATGCTTGAACAGTGGAACATTGTTGCATCACCAAACATTGAACAGTGGAACTATCACCACTGTTATTGCAGGTGATTGATAAGGAAATTTTGTCAAAAAATATACGTACAGTGAAAGTGATTATTATAGAATAACTTCAGCTCTGCTGGTGTTTCCTTTGGTTTCAAGCTGGGTTGCGCAGGTCACAGTGATAGCATGCTTGGAGTGGTTTTGGTGTAGGTATACATTGGGACCTAATGTTAGACAAAAACAATTGTACATCATTCATAGTGTTTAAGGTGGAACATAGCATAAATAATCATAAAACAGGTAGATTCATGCTCCTACCTTCAAATTTTAATAACTACAATAGCGAGCTCCCGAGCGAGCGAGCGAGGGGGAGGGGGAGAGTATTATACATATATATATATATATATATATATATATATATCAATATGTATTTGTTGAGTTAAATACTGTGGTTGTTGCAGTGTGTTATGACCAGTATAGGTTTTTTATTTGGAAGCTTTGTCTTGTTTTAAATATTGGCTTGTTATAAATATAATCTAGTTATAAAAAGTATTGTTCTGTATTCAGTATTCATGTTTATTCAATGCATGCAGCCCACCAGATGATAGTTCCACATCTAGGAAAGCAGGCCTGCTGCCCTCCCCACCCAACCCATCCTCATGTATGCTGGCCAATATTTGTTGAGTTCTGCTCTTGTAGGTTTCTCAGGTGATTCTGTCAGAGATGATAAATAAAAGGAAAACCAAGGCAGAAATGAATCTGAAGCAGTCAAAGAAGAAGAATATTGAGCATCTCAAGAGAAAAAAGAAGAAAACATGTTTCCATGAAGGGAGGTGCCACTTTCAAGACAAATTCAAAGAAGATTGAGCTACATTCCAGTACTGATGGCGAGAGCCCAGTGGTATGCTTTTTATTATTATTCTGTTTGTGGACAGAAGTGGTGTGCAGTATATGTGTAATACCCCTGCCAGGTAATGCTGTGTGGTTATGGATCAAACATTGGCATGCTGCTGTCTCCCTGAATAGACATTTTGAAAAGGGTGTTTGCTGTCCATGTGTAGTTGGCAGCCTGTCTCTAACACAGGTGTCATTGCCCTCAAGACAGCGTTTGCTTGCTTATTTATCAAGGATATGTTGTGTAATTCAGGGAGATATTTTGTGATGATCCACGTATTTATGTGAACCTGCTTAGCAGTTTTTTTATCCATAGCATCTAACCAATTCTTTGTTGGTTCATATACCTCAGAAGCAGAAGATGATGACAGAGAAAAAGGGTAACCAGAACAAGAAAAGGAAAGCTGACCATCAAGAAAGCACTTTATATCAAAATGGGCTCAGAGAAAGCAACACCATGACAGGAACTGCTGTGCGAAATGCAACTCCAGCCAAGAAGAGGAAAAAGAAGACACCGACCTGCCGTCGCTGCCGCTGCCGCTGCCGCTGCCGCCGCTCCGCCGCCGGCCGAGGGCGCCGCGGCGGCGGAGCCGGTGCGGCTGAGCGTGCCGGGCGGCTTCTCCTGGGAGACGACGCCTTGGCCGGAGGTGGCACCGCTCCCGGCGCGCGCTGACGAGTCCAGCAGCGACAACGAGGACGACACGCAGACGCCAGTGAGTAGTGGTGCCAGCGAGCATCTAGTGCTGGCTGATCGAGGCCAGCAGGCTGGCTGTAGCTCATGACGGCTATCCTCGATGGTTACCTGTTGTGTTGCAGACCTTTTGAAGTGGCTGAGTGGTTGACGCAGCTCGTGGGCCTGCCATTTCACGTTCCTGTTATTGGTAACTTTAGAACGTGTTGGTTACGTTACTGCGCATCTCATGGGTCAACGAAGCTCCGGAAAATCTGCATGGTGCATTATCAGGGTTTCAAGATCTGCTCATTGGCTGTAAGTATACATTGGCAGGATTTTCATTGCTGTCCTGGGTCGTGTCTACGATATGTGACCGTGGATAAACCGCCATAGCTGCCTTCCCCCCATTGTCACTGCTCTTAGAAACTATGGCATATGGTGACAACTGTCCGTGGCAGTGACCGTGGTCCAGAGGCTGGAGGCGTCCGGCTGCGCCACCACCAGCCGCTCGTGGTCGTGGTCCATGATAATGAAAGTCCGCGATAGGGACCGTGGGTGATGAGGATGGCAGTGCGTGACGGTGACGACGGTCCATGTTAATAACGGTAGTTAATGATGATGACAGTGGTCCATGACAATTGTGGTGACGATCATCATATCATGATTATCACAATTAAATAAGACACGTAATAAAATGATGACGGTGGTCCATGACGATGACGGTCCGGGGGTAGTGAGCATGGTCCATTAGGATGACGGTCCATGAAAATGACCGTCCATAATGGTGACCGTTGGTGATCATGTCTGCTGTGTCCGGCAGCCAGTATGGCGGTCTGTGCGGCGGCGTGTGACGATGGCGGCCGTGTCCGCTGGCAGCCGGCGGACCAGTATGGCGGTCTGTGCGGCGGCGTGTGACGATGGCGGCCGTGTCCGCTGGCAGCCGGCGGACCAGTATGGCGGTCTGTGTGGCGGCGTGTGACGATGGTGGCCGTGCCCGCTGGCAGCCGGCGGACCAGTATGGCGGTCTGTGCGGCGGCGTGTGACGATGGCGGCCGTGTCCGCTGGCAGCCGGCGGACCAGTATGGCGGTCTGTGCGGCGGCGTGTGACGATGGCGGCCGTGTCCGCTGGCAGCCGGCGGACCAGTATGGCGGTCTGTGCGGCGGCGTGTGACGATGGCGGCCGTGTCCGCTGGCAGCCGGCGGACCAGTATGGCGGTCTGTGCGGCGGCGTGTGACGATGGCGGCCGTGTCCGCTGGCAGCCGGCGTCCAGACTGTCGCGCCGTGAGCTGCGCCTGCGCGCGGCCGCCGAGGAGCGTCAGCTGGCCGAGCGCGAGCGGCTGATGATGGACCCCAGCCGCGCCCCTGAGACGGCGGACGACCACGAGCGGCTGGTGGTGGCGCAGCCGGACGACTCCAGCCTCTGGATCCGCTTCATGTCGCACTTCCTGCAGGTGAGGCGTGCGTGGCGCCGGTCACGTCAGACTCTTGGAAGCCCGTGCAAGTACCGTGGTGGGGCGAATTGATATCTCGTGGATCAACATAATACAATGACAAGCTTATCGATGGAGGCAGGATGTAATCACACAAAGTCCCAGTGGGGCATGGCAACGCGTCTCCCACGCCGTTGATGACGCCCGCTTTGAATAGCTGGGGAGTTTGCGCTGTAGTATTTCAGATTGCTTGTTTAAGGCGAACGATATTTGCTTTGTGCCAAAAGATGTCTCAGCCTCGGTGAGTGCTGAGATTTTCTTCAGACTTGAATCTAGTGTGCTTGGTGTGCGGTGATCAAGCCCACGAGAACACAGTTAGGTTTTTCTCCTCAGAAGGATGTTTTTCTTTCCATTTTTCACCTGCCGTTTCGTTGTGTCGGATATTTGCCTCCATGGTTTCCTTTTTCATTCCTTCCCGTCCTTGCCTAGAAGCGTGGCGCTTTTCATGCTGCCCTCTAGACCTGCATTATGGATGCTGTATCAATCGTACCAATCGGTCAGTTTCATGCTGCTACTGCCTCAAGTCATGTTGCGCGCTCTGTGATTGTTGTGTCCTGGAGCGTGCCTGACGAGTCATCACCGCATGCCCCTCCGACCTGACTCCCGCCGCCGTCCGCCTACCTCCCTCCGCGTGCCGGCGCCGCCTCCCGGGCTCTGTCGTAACGCTAGCACCGCTTCGCCAGGCCACGGAGATTGAGAAGGCGCGCGGCGTGGCGCGACGCGCCCTCAACACCATCAACTTCCGCCAGGAAGACGAGAAACTGAACGTTTACGTTGCATGGCTTAACCTGGAGAACATGCACGGCACACAGGTCAGAGCCGGCCCCAGCGGGTCCCCGAGCGCAGGGGAGAGCCGGCCCCAGCGGGTCCCGAGTGCAGTTGAGAGCCGGCGGCGGAGGGTCGCCGAGCGCTGGTGAGAGCCGGCCTCAGCGGGTCCCGAGTGCAGTTGAGAGCCGACGCCGGCGGGTCGCCGAGCGCTGGTGAGAGCCGGCCCCAGCGGATTCCCGAGCGCTGGTGAGAGCCGACGCCGGCGGGTCCCCGAGCGCTGGTGAGAGCCGGCCCCAGCGGGTCCCCGAGTGATGGTGAGAGCCAGTGCCGGCGGGTCCCCGAAAGCTGGTGAGAGCCGGCCCCAGCGGGTCCCCGAGTGATGGTGAGAGCCAGTGCCGGCGGGTCCCCGAAAGCTGGTGAGAGCCGGCCCCAGCGGGTCCCCGGGTGACGGTGAGAGTCGGTGCCGGCGGGTCCCCGAAAGCTGGTGAGAGCCGGCCCCAGCGGGTCCCCGGGTGACGGTGAGAGTCGGTGCCGGCGGGTCCCCGAAAGCTGGTGAGAGCCGGCCCCAGCGGGTCCCCGAGCGCTGGTGAGAGCCGGCCCCAGCGGGTCCCCGAGTGATGGTGAGAGCCAGTGCCGGCGGGTCCCCGAGCACTAGTGAGAGCCGGCCCCAGCGGCTCCCCGGGTGACGGTGAGAGTCGGTGCCGGCGGGTCTCCGAGCGCTGGTGAGAGCCTGTGTTTTCTGGCCACGTCGGCCATTGCCGATCGCGGTCAGTGCGTATCAGGTGGCGGTAATCATACCTGGAATGAGACTGCACCCCATTGGACTTACGTTTTGGAAGTTCGGTCTCTAATGAGTAGGTGCTAGTACTGGATGGATGGTTGGATAGATGCTTGGTAGAAGCTCCCGCTGCTGGTGAAACCAGATAAAGGGTACATCGGTGCCCTTCCCGTAAAAGGATGTTGGGATTCCTCGATCACGGGATCGAAGGATGTAGGCGATGTTTTGGTCTAAAATGCCAAAGCTGGGTCCGTCACCGAAAGTTTACGATCAGACACTCGACCCAACATATTGCATGGAGACGCCCTTCCTGTAGAACGAAAATAACCGACGGCGTGTCGCGAAATCCGGCAGAACTGACACGCTGAGCTACGTGATTTTGCCGGCCGTCGTACCTTGCGATGTCCTGGAGCGAAAATTGCGTTTTAGATGTCACTGTGCGCGCACATTTATTCATGGATTGGTGTGTCGCAGCAGCGGGACAGCTTTCCAATTTCGATTTGTTTCAGGAAACTCTCAATAACGTGCTGCACGAAGCGCTACAGTCCAACGACACCTTCAAGGTGTATACGAGAATGGCAGAGATTCACGCAGCGAACAGCAAACACGACGTGAGTAGCGTGCATTGCGAACATGCAAAGTGATCTTGAATAAGTTGGAGCGTGAACGCGAATTTCATTGCAATATGGTGTTGCCGTGCTGGAGATCCGCCGCTCAGCGGGACCATTTGGGTGCGCGTGATCGGAGTGCGGACCATGCAGCGTTGGTCACGGTGAACGCTCGAGACCAGCGCCACCGCACTGCCCGAGCGTACTTTGCATTTACTGTCACCCAGAGCACTTACCTTACGGCGGGCCCACCAATGTGGTTGTGGGGTCGAAATGCGTAGTGCGATATGGTGCGAATGTGAAGGTGACGAATACACGCACACTACCTGTCATGAAGTACCCAACAGCAGAGATTAAGGAACAGCCAATAGCCGGGTCTTCCGATTTGTCGGGAGAACTGAACTTTTGGCGGAGAAAATTTGCCGTTTTTCAACAACCTAGTGCGACGTTTGCGCCTCTTCCCACAAACCGCAGAACCGACTGCGTTGTTTTCTCGGCCGCGCATGCCTATCACGGGGGCATCGCATAACAGGCGTCTGAAATGCCGCTCTATCCGTTTTTAGCATATGACACCGATTAGCCGTCGCGTTTTCTCATGAGTTTGGGGCGGCCGCTGACGGTACGCCTGTCCGGCCCCCGCGCCGTTGTCTGACTCGGAGCGGACCGACCTCTGGCGCGCCACAGGAGGCCGAGGAGATGTACAGTCAGCTGGTGCGCAAAATGGCGGCCAACAAGGACAGCTGGCTGCGGTACGGCACCTTCCTGATGCAGGTGGACCGTCACGACGCGGCCCGGGCTCTCATGCAGCGCGCGCTCCGTGGCCTGGACCGCCGCCACCGTACGTGTCCTGTGCCATCCCCCAGGCCCTCGGCTATCATTTAACCCTGAAACTCCACCGTCGGTAACTACCTTGGCACTCGCTACAGCACTGTAAATGGAGTGCCTGTATACCCAGAACGCAGAATGCACCCTACCATGCATTGCGTCCCGGCAGTCACTCATGTCTAATGGGGTTCCGATAAGTGGTCGAACAGTCGTTAACTGGGTTGCGCAAGTTGCCCAGTGTCACTGGCCTGCCTCTCATTACACACATTGCCGTGACGACCGCCGGGACCTGGTGTCGATGAGACGCCTGCGCCGCTGACTGCCGCGCCCTCTCGGCCCATGCCGGCCGGACGCGCTGTGCTGACGTGGGCATGCCCGGCCCTCCGCAGACGTGGAGGTGATCAGCAAGTTCGCGCAGCTGGAGTTCCGCTTCGGCCAGCCGGAGCGGGGCAAGACCATGTTTGACCACCTGCTGTCCACTTACCCCAAGCGGCTGGACCAGTGGAACGTGTACGTAAACCAGCTGATCAAGACCAGCGATTACGACGCCGCCAGGTGTGTGTTGATTTACCCCGGTCGCCATCAAGCCTGGGTCGATGCAATTCCGCGACCCTCACCCGCCCCCCGGCTCCCTCCTCCGACCTCTCTCCTTGTGAGGCATCCGCACGTCAAGGAACTCGGGTCACCGCGAGAAAGTGAACGAAGGGCCTATACCGGCCACCACTTTCCACGCAGCCCGTCGTCATTGAGGCTTTACGACGCACTCAGCTGCTGAGGCTTTATGGCGTCGCTTGCCTCTCACCCTGGCAGGAGGGGGGGGGGGGGGGGGGGGCGGGACGGGCTTCGCGGTAAATCGAACCCCGCACGGCTGGTTTCTCAGACACGCAGTGGTTAGCGCAGACGCGTTAACCACTCCACTATCGGCACCATCCACACGATCCGTACATCGCTGCATCCCCGCTTGCGTGTCGGAAAATGTCACGGCCTGTCCGGCACACCGCCTGAGTCACGCGTCTGCGGCCCCGCCATGTTTCGCTGAGAGTGGTGGCCAGAACGGCTGTGGTTGACTGGGCACGCCGCCCCGTTCCAGGCAGATCTTCCAGCGCGCCACGACAGTACGCCTGAGCGCGCGGCGCATGCGCTCGCTGCTGAAGCGCTTCCTGGAATTTGAGCAGGCGCACGGCTCGGTGGCGCAGCAGGAGGCGGTGCGAGAGACAGCGCGGCAATTCGTCGAGTCGCGCTCAGAGGCGGACGCGATGCTGCTCGAGACTGAGCGCTAACGCGGGCCGGGGGGGGGGGGGGGGGGGGGAGCGAGGCCGCCGCCCTGGCCGGCCTCCGGAGACGCCCAGACGGCGAACGGGCGGCGGACCGGCCCGGCTGGCCACCTGCGGGTCGGGGGGAGCGAGCGCGCCCGCCAGCTTGGCAGACGTGTACTGAGCAGAGCAGTCGTACGAACGGAGAAGCCAGGGGTGCGGGCACACGAGGTCGTATCGCATGAGCCGCTCGCTTGACATTGCAGTGCGATTGACAGTGTTGTACGCAGCCTGTAATACACACCCGCGAGGCTTGTGATCCAACCGTCTTCCTTCCAAAGAAAGATGTACTGACGTAACCTCGGGACCAGCAGCACCAGTCGTGGATTGGGATTCTGTTGACTAGAACCACAACACGGTGCCCACCAAGTGCGCTGTTGCTCAGTTAAATCGATAAAATCGGTGGCGCTCGCGGAAATATCTCGGTCTCATCAAACGACAGGTTTTCCATTGAATCGTTAGGGAATATGTTACCCCTGGGCCTGCACTTCCTGCCATTGGAAACAAACTTCTGGAGAAGAAGCCTGAGCGATTGCGCCTCCCCTATCTGCCACAACACGGTGCAATACAGTGCAATGCCACCGGGTGAACATATGATTTGATCTACGGATGGTATTGGCTACCCAGATCTTGCCAAGATCGGGTATTTCGCCATGTTCCTATGTGAAGAGCACACGACCGACACCATACCTGGCATGCGACGAGACACATGAAACAATGCAGCGGTGCGTCGGACGTCATCTACGCAATTACCCGCCATTTGAACATACCCGTGCGCTTGACGGACGACGACGGAAGCCTTAGGCTGATATCAGATTCGTAGCACGACCGTGTGTCAAGGGATGTGTATCTGTGTTCATTTCGTGTACATAAGCTGCTGGTAATTCCGAAATAATGAGCATTGAGAAAATGCCCGCTTGGTGCTAGGTCAATCGCCTGACGTTACACGCATTTCCATGCTGCGCTACTAGAACATCCGTCTTCATGCAGGTTTGACTCAAAGAACTCCCCAGCCTACCGGCACGAAATCATAACCCCGCAACTGGTACTGACAGAAAGAGTGCATTATTAGCGCGCATGAGCGGCAAATGAGCATAGAGCTTGCGATATCTGTGCAAAGCGCGGCTCCGTAAGACCTACGGACACCTCAATTCATTATAAGGCCTTACATGAGTGCACGGCGGCTGCGTCCAAAAAGGCACTGAATATGGTTCATCCAACGGCGCCAGACACGTTTAAAGTAGCCCTGCGTGCTGACAGTCTGAACAAAATACTCTCAGGTAGAATAAGTACAGCTGCGATAAGCCGTTCAACAGCCAAATGGCGCAGTTCAGCTTGGTCTAGCGCCCGCCAGGTGTCACTCGTCACCACAGGTGGCGCGTGAACAGGGCCGTGGCGGCCAGCAGGGTGGTGACCAGCAGCACATCTCGTACACTGGCGGCCAGCGGCTCAGCGCCGAACGTCGCGGTCAGCGGGTGCAGCAGCTCCGACCAGCACACGTCGCCGTCGCAGCGCGAATTGTCCCACTGGCTCCAGAACCTGTCGGGCGCAGCGAAGGGGTGCGTTAGCAGAGATTTTCTACGAAACCCAGCACGTTCTAGTCGTTGAGAGCCTGGAGAGCGGCTGACTGGCGTGAAATGGTAAAACCAGACGAAACACAACAACAATCAGCTACTTATCTGATGAACTACCTTCCCAGCTCGCCTTGATGCTTGATTTCAACCAGTGGACAACCAAATCTTTAAATACAAGCCGGCGCAAGTGTGTTGGGCTTCACCTAACGTTAAGGTCACGTTCCAGCCGATCATTTCATGGATTCCATTTCTGCAGATCTGTCTGAACCAGGAGAGGCATACAAATATGACAGATAAATGCAGAGGTGGCAGTTGATCCTCCCACTGATATTCCCGCGACGGTGGCGGGACTGTTTGATGGATGAACTAATAACCTTGCCAGCTGAGCGGGCAGCCGCAATCAAGCAGAACAGACAGAATGGCGGAAGATCATAGTACTCCAGGACAGGAGAGGACAGAACAGGACGGAGTAGGACAGGACAGGGCACGGTAACACAGGGTAAGACAGGATAGGGCAGGACAGGACAGGACAGATACGCGACATGAGAAAGAAGAAAATTGTAATCACTGGTACACTGATAGTGCACACGCATACTGATGGCAGATTGAGGCAGCACAGGTGCAAGCTGAACAAGGTGAAGGAAAACCGGTTCCGTAGTGGCCATTTTTGCGCATAACTATCCTTACTGGTGCGTGGTTCTTTGCTGCTCCATTTCAGCACCATACCCGTCCTCGCATTAGAAACTTGATGTCATGCAGAGCCCGACCACTACATCCCGCCTCTCACGACTTGCCAACGGCGACCGCGGATCTGCACGGCACGCGCACGCGGCGTCCCGGTGACGTCAGCAGAGGTGACGTCACGTCCGGAGGCCAGCAGACATCATCAGCGCCGGGGCGCGGGCCGGGCGCATGAAGCGCTCCACTCGGCCGACAGGTCGATACGGCACGGAAACGCTCACAGACAGATAACGACCACCGGGAGTGGGAGGCGCCGGGGAGAAGCCGCCGCCGCCTGCGGCCCTCTAGAGCGAGCCGCTGCAGCACGGAGCCGGGGAGGGGCCGCCGCCGCCGCCTGCAGCCCTCTAGAGCGAGCCGCTCCAGCACGGGGCCGGGGAGAAGCCGCCGCCGCCTGCGGCCCTCTAGAGCGAGCCGCTCCAGCACGGGGCCGGGGAGGGGCCGCCGCCGCCTGCAGCCCTCTAGAGCGAGCCGACCCAGCACGGAGCCGGAGAGGGGCCGCCGCCGCCTGCAGCCCTCTAGAGCGAGCCGCTCCAGCACGGGGCCGGGGAGGGGCCACCGTCGCCCGCAGCCCTCTAGAGCGAGCTGCTCCAGCACGGGGCCCGAGAGGGGCCGCCGCCGCCTGCAGCCCTCTAGAGCGAGCCGCCCCAGCACGGGCCGCAGCGGCCCGGCGCACCGCACTGGTCCGGTACGCTGCAGCCGGGCGCACTAAGGCACGTTGACCTTGGACATTAGCATTTACTTTTTGCATGTTTGTATGCCACGGAAGCTGTACGGCTCGCCAGAGTCAATATCGTTGCTTTTTGTCCTCAGATTAGGTGGGTATTAGTGTACTGTGTGGAAAGCTTCAAGAATGCAGACGATGCTCAAATTCACCTATCCGCGAGATATGGTACGCGCTTGCACGCTCTACTATCAAGCGGCTTTCATAAACGCCTTGGCAAAAAACCTTTCACGTTAAAAAATCGACCTCTCGTGAATCAAGGGACACGGGTTGAACTCCACATTCCAGGAAGCGTTGTTAAGTTAAGAAAACTTGACACTTCGAATCTGAATAACATTCAATAACTTAATAACAACAACGCACTTCGCGGATTATTGTGGGAATAATATCTCTTAACTCCAAGTGATGCCCAATCAGGGACTCCCAGGCCTGGCGCACCTGGAGACTGTGCGATGTGAATGGGTCTTGTTACACATAATGAGCAAGGCGAATCGAATATCACACGAGCCATTACCATTTCTACATAGCTCGCAACCTTCGCCACCTCACCCATTGTCAGCTCGAAGGCTAGGAAACGAAGTGCCTCCGCAGCGCACGTTTTGACTACCCGGGAGCGTTAGCACACCGGACCCACGCGTCGCTCCTCATACCAGACGTGCCAGACAGCCGTCGCTCATCTCTGCGCGGGCCCGCTCACACCCCTCCCTCAGCCGGGCTGCCGGACACCGGAGACGGGCGCCGCCCACACCCCTGCCCTCAGCCGGGCTGCCGGACACCGGAGACGGGGGCCACCCACACCCCTCCCTCAGCCGGGCTGCCGGACACCGGAGACGGGCGCCACCCACACCCCTGCCCTCAGCCGGGCTGCCGGACACCGGAGACGGGGGCCACCCACACCCCTCCCTCAGTCGGGCTGCCGGACACCGGAGACGGCCGCCGCCCACACCCCTCCCTGAGCCGGGCTGCCGGACACCGGAGACGGGCGCCACCCACACCCCTCCCTCAGTCGGGCTGCCGGACACCGGAGACGGCCGCCGCCCACACCCCTCCCTCAGCCGGGCTGCCGGACACCGGAGACGGGCGCCACCCACACCCCTCCCCCAGCCGGGCTGCCGGACACCGGAGACGGCTGAGCTCTCCGTTTCCACTTGTCAGTTCCACGGGTATGTACCTTACCTTACTGATGTAGGCCACATCCCACGGATTCACTTAAGCAATGTCATGTGTGTGTTAGTGAGATCGACGGACGAGCATCAGTGGTTCGCCGACCCACCGAGCCGTCTGTTGACCCAGCAGACTGTCGGCGGCCCGACCGGTCTGACCCACCGGCAGCTGTCTGTTGGCTCAGCAGACTGTCGGTGGCCCGGCTGGCCTGATGTCTTCCCGCCAGGATCCATAACCATCTGTCTCTATGTGGCCTCGCTGTCTCGACGCAGGAGGCAGTCACATTCTATCACTGGCCAGTGCCCGTAAGCCTCACCAGCGCTCACTAAAGTGACTTCCCCATCCTCATTGAAACTAACGTCCTCACTGATGACGCAACTGGGGAGACAGTCCAGCAATGTCCGGGTCGGCCAATATCCCAGTTCCGACGCCGCTTCATCCAAGCCGACGCCACACGACATTGGCCAAATCGGGGCCCGTGCACGGCGACGGCGCCTGCCGCGACTGATGCCGCCAGCCGAGCGCCGGTGCACGGCGACGGCGCCTGCCGCGACTGATGCCGCCAGCCGAGCGCCCGTGCACGGCGACGGCGCCTGCCGCGACTGATGCCGCCAGCCGAGCGCCCGTGCACGGCGACGGCCCCTGCCGCGACTGATGCCGCCAGCCGAGCGCCGGGCCGCATATGGCGGCCGGCTGAGAGCCACAGGGCGCACGTGCCGCGGCCGACACAGCCGACTGAGCCCGAGCTACGGCCGGCGGTGGCCGCGCCGCATACGGCTCAGGCTGATCAACAGGCGCCGCCTCTGCAGCTGCCGGCCGCCACAGCTGGCGCAGTCATAATGCTGCTTGGCGCCATTAATACAAAGCTTAAAGTCCGTGAGCGCACCCAGTCACAGTAAGTGAATGTGGCGAAGACTCAGCCAGAATGTCAGATGGCCTGTGACCGCGCCCTGGATACCGAGATAGGAGGCAGGCATAGCATTGATTTTTCAACAGTTTCTCCTGGCAGAGAATTGTTGACTACGCTTTTGCCAATGGGGACGGGTGCGGCAACGGCGGGCCAGGCGTCTGCTTCCAGTGCCACCTGGCCTTCCCATGGAGGACGTGCAAAACGCTCGGACCACCCACGGAGAACGTGCAGAATGCTCGAGTACCATGCAAGACCAACCGGCTGCTCCAAGCGGCCTACCGCCGGCGCTGGTCTTGCTGGACGCGTTTGGCCGCGGCGCGCGTACCGTCATGCCGGACCAATTGTTTGCCGGGTCATGACGCCGGTACGCCGGCGACAGCTGAGCAAATCACTCTGGCCACAACATTGCCACGAGAATGCCGGGCACGAGACGCGGCCCCGCCCGGCTGGCTGGGCGCCGGACGAGGTCAGAGCCTGGAGCAGCCGCCGTTGAGGCCTGGTGAACTCCGCCACCGCTCGCAGGGACTGGTCAGCGGTGGCCTGCTCTGGCTCAGGGACAATGTGATCGGCTGTGTCCCGGCGACTGTTGCCGCTCCCCGGCAGAGCTCATCACCTTCGCTGTGGTCAAATAGCCCCGAGATCTGCGCGGCCGCGCGGGCTGACGACAGCCTCCCAACACGGCGAAACGTGACCCTGCTCGCCACGGCGCCAACTGTCAAAATCGCCCCGGTCGCGCCGCATTACTCGAATTCCAGAGAGATGCTTTTCGTGCGAGACATGGCGACACATGCATAGTCCCCTGAATTGCCTGATGTCACACTCTTTGCACGATCACTCTGCAATAGCCGCCCCCGTTGCTTGTGCCCGTGGTCGCTCGCCCGGTCAGCGTGCTGGCCCGGGATCGAACGCGCCGGCTGCCGTCGCCGCTGCCGCCACAGGGTATGTAAATACCAATATTGACCTGACGCGACGCGACGCACGTCACCATGTCCCTCTTATGGGGTGCCGCCAGTGGCTGCATTGGCCTTGCCAACGCTCAGGGGTCATGGCACGACCGGGACTCGAGCCCGGACCCGCCATGAGGGCGTGTAAGCCGCTACCCATTCTGCCATTACGCCCCCTTGCAAGTTGTGTGACAGCAAAAAGGTAAAACGTGGTACGGGATATCTAAGACAACGAAAACAGCAAAGACAACGATGGAAGCCAAAATTTGCGCCACACATGTGTGCTACCACAGAGGTCACACAAGCAAACTAGACCTGGACACCGCAGTGCTTACTCGTTCAGCAGTAAATCTTGAAGTGTGTTTTTAAAAACACTGAAGTCTCATATCGTGAAAATCGGCTGCTGGTCGACTGTAAGCGACAGCTGCACTGGCGCGCGGTCTCCGGGAGCCTGCTTTGGTTCTGGCTTCGGGCCGGTGCTGCCG